AAAAGGGCCGGGGGGGGGGGGGGGAAATTCACAGTGGCGATGACGCCGGGAGGATGGGCGAGTCCCGTCTCGGAAAAGAGAGCCACGCGACTGTACGCGGCGTGGCTTTCTTTCGCCATCTCGTCTTATCTACCTGTCAAGGCCGAATTCCACGTCTCGTCGAAAATACGGCAAGCCGGCGGCTGTGACACGTCGCGTAAGATAGAGTGTGTATGTGTGATGCGTATAGTGTGTATGGGAGACGAGTGCGTGCTCGCGAAGAGAAGAGATAAGGTGTAACCAATGATGTGTTGGTAAAGAAAAAAATTAATTTCTTTTCCAAGGAAAAATGTCATTCCTTGTAACAATATATGAATGAGTATAGACACAGAAACGGATCTAAACGAAAAGATACATTTTGTAAGCCAGATAAAGAATACAGAAAAAAGTTAATAGCAATTAATATATATATATACATATATATATATTAATTAGAATTAAATAATTAGAATTAAGATATATATTACTGTTTTTTTCTTTGAATCTATAACATTTATCTTCAAATTCACATCTTAATTCTTCCAAAAGGAACGAAACAACTAGAATATAAGATAAAACACATAAAGAGCCTTAATTCTAAATATTTCATAGAGTGAGAAGATTGTCAATGATATTCAACTGTTACTTAAAAAGTAGTAAAAACATATTAATATTTATGAAATACTACAATCTTTTTTATATTTCATAAATATTTATGAAATATAAGTATTTTCTCACGATTTTAAATAAATAAAATATGTGAGAAAGATTTCTCTTTAAATAGAAATGGATAAGAAAAATAATCTCAGAAGGCGCCGCGCCATTATCACCTAAGGTCCCAGGTACTTCAAATACTGTCAGACTAGCGAGCTATAACGTACAGCTTATAACGTTCGGATGTAGTTAACGCTTGCCGGATAGGAGATAAGTACATAGATCAAGAGAAAGACTCCGAGTATACAGCGAGGTCTAGGTATTTTCTACCCTCTCCGTAACCCTCCTCCACGTTCATATATCCCCTTTGTCTTCTCGAACCTGTGTCCGAACCTCTGGTATCGACGAAGCGGTCACGGGTGGCACCACGGGAAATTAATGACCACCGTCGCGGTCGCATGAATTGAGTGGAGATTCG